AACTTATTTTCTTCAGCTTTATCTCACCTCTAACAGGTTTAACTCAGGTGTGTTTTTTCCCCTCTGATACAGCTTACTTAAAAGTTGTAAATCTGAACAGGTTCCCATGATGCAGGCTATACTAACAAGTAGATTAGGTCAAATAGTAACCAGAGGGAAAAAAAAATAGGCCCCAAACCACAGGCTAAAGCACACCTGGCAAGTTATCATACAAGCCTAGATATGATACCACATTTCCATATCTGAGGAGAAAAAAAAAACAAAGGAAAACAAAACAAAACAAAAAACACCACAAAAAAACCCAACCAAACAAACCAGAGAGAATTGCTTGTTTGGCAACAACTGCTGATGGTTTTCCCTCCTTTGTGTCCAGCTCCTCCGTGCAATCCTGCTATGGCTTTTAAGATACATGACCAGTTTTGTTCTGGAAAAATTCACACTACCATAAACAACTGCTGATTAAACGTTACGAAAACAGAACCAGCAGTATACCTCACCTTACCCTGGGCTCTCAACTTTTAGTTCAAAGGTTTGTTCTCCTGTCCAACATTTTGTTGCCATTTTAAGAGGGTGAAGGTACCTTTGAAACCTTGACTAGTAGAAATTCTGTTGAAAAAATGTGAAATAAAATTGTAAGTGAAATGATCTACACTTCTCCTGCAACACAGTATCAGCCTGCAGCTGAAACTCCAACAAATTCTAGAAGTAACATCACAAAAATGCTTGATTAGTCCATGATTAGCAACTCTTTTGGAACAAGTTGGGGGTGGGGGGTGTTTTTTGGTCTGTGTGTGTCCCTTTCTTGTAAATTCTACCTTGGAAACTTAGCTGGCAATTCAAGGTAATAGTGATTATAAACTGAACACCCTCAATTAACTCAGTACTACTTGGTCTTGACCTGCTCAAAGAAAATATTTTAAAGTGAAGGACGAATGAGTCAGGGGCATGAGTACAACCTTTCAAACACATTTTTTCAAAGCTATTGAAAGTACACAAAAACATCAGCAAAAATGTTTTCACACAGAGTAGAATGCAACACTTGCCATACATTGAATTGGTCAGGTTGATAAATGAGGCATGATATTCAAGACACAAGTCAAAATACACGTTGATAAAATATTAAACTTCAATCAAAGTCTAGACTTCTTTGAAGGCTAGCATCTTGTCTATAGTAGACTTTTCAAATGTCTTGGGATTTGTTAGCTAATGCATTCAAATGTCATGCATTTAATTTACTCCTGAGGCTAGACAAGGCCTTAGAAGCAATCCTTTTAGATTAGCTTTGAAGCATGCTGTCAGAATAACATTCAGGAGCTTTTATTGTCGTTGCTTTATGTTGTGACCTGTAATTTTGATGAGGCTTCAATCTCCACTACCAAAAGTGATATACAAGGTGACTTAAAGCACAGTTGGCAATACTAGCTGTCAAACAATGAAGTAAAATGTAGTTTTGCAGATACACTCCTAAATAATACTCAAATTGAGGCTAAGAAAACAAAATCGATAGAATATACTTCAAACACTGCATTTATTACAAAGGTGCATAGAGTTTATGCTATTTCTTTTGAATACTTACATTTAAACTACAAACAACATACAAAGCTAGGTTACACTATATAATAAAATCAACAATTATCTAGTAAATTCAGTACAACAGAATATTCTACTGTATTTAATTTCACAAAACATTTCTGAAACAAAGGCACTTACAGAATTCAAAAAATGAACATATACTCTTTCAACATTTAAAATTGTAATGCCATTCCCCCTCCCCTACAGCACTGTGGATAACTAGTTTGACGTGAAGGCAACAGCTACTTGGAGTGACACATCAACAGTGCTTGAACTAAAAGTTTATGGATCAACTTCTCCATCTTTTCTATAACCATCCCATTCTCTTAACTATATGAAAACAAGTGTCAAAGGGTTGCATGGCAAGAACTAAATAAGATTTGGTCCTATGCCTTACTGTTAATGATGATTAATACACTAACAATAAGAAAAGATGTGATTAAGTGTTCCAATTATGAAGTGAGGAAAGTGGACCATTTTATCTTCTTTAAAGGAGTTTTGTAACTGAAGTAGTAATACTACTACTAAAGTAGTTCCTTGTATGTGAATGATTCTACTTGCATATAGTTATCATTAGCATATGTTTAATGAAGGAAAGGTGTACATTTTCAGGCTCCTTAACCCTATCCCTCATCTCCTCCCACTGCTCCACATATAGTCGTGCTCAGGGCAATTTATTTGGTCTGTACATCATCTATTCTACACCAAAACTTCACATTTGGGGACCTCTGTTGTTGTTGCCACTTTACTTTCCTACTATCTTTTCCTTACAAATGATGGCAGATGGTTGAGCCAAATACTCAAGAAATTGCACTTTCCTTTCATATCCAAAACGTCACCCTACGAACATTGCCACGAACTGCATGCTTTGTCACATCAGATGGAGGAAAGGAAGAGAGGTGCAGAGTAAGAACCTCACGAAGCCCAACACTACAACACTGTACCTGTGCTCCGAGCGCTGCACGGCAGCTGTGCTCGCTGGCTGCATCTCACTGGCCAGACTCCATCCAGGCACCTGGCTAACAAAGGTGCTCTGCCCTCCTTCTATATGAATAAACACACAGGGGTAGGATCTAGAGCAAGGGAATTCTTTCTGCAGTTATTCAGTGCCCTCCCACACATAAAAAATTCAGATTTCTAGGGAAACACTTCATTCTTCTTACAGGAGACACTGTCCATTTTTGGTTGTTCTCACATAACTCCTAACAGTGTAACGAAGCATTGTCCTTCACTTATGAGTTAGGAAAGAGGAGGGACACACAGCTGCAGGGCACACACTTGCTGTCTGAGTGCCTCTTGCACCATTCCATACTATTAACTTCAGCACTTAGAGAGGTGTAACAGAGGGGCACAGGTTGTCATGAATCCCAACGCTAAACACTTTCTACAAGTTTCTTCTGAAATGCCCTGAAAACTTTATTTAAAAAAAAAAAAAAAATAATTGAATAACTCAGAAATAGACTCAAAGATCAGGACGAGAAATAAGGCTGCCTTTCATAGCAGCAGTTTCCATCCATCATGAGGTAAAATACCACCACCATCAATGTTTTTCAAACAGTAACATATCCTAAATGTAGACTCACAGGACTAATTGCTTATTGGCCCCTCTAAAAAAGTAAAATCAGTGTACAAGATATGTTAAAATTATGGCTTCACCCTCTGTGAATCCATGCTGACTGTGCCTGGTGTTGCACTGTTCTTTCAATGCCTTTCAGTAGCACCCAGGATAATCTTCTCCATAATTTTTCCAGAAACTGAGGTTATTCTCACAGCTGGTTCCTGGGTCTTTCCTCATGCCGTTGTCAACTGGAAAAACATTGGCCACCTTCCAGTCAGCAGGGACCTCCTCAGAATCCCAAGACCTTTGGTAGATGACCGTGTCCCACAGGGGTCTGTATCGGGACCAGTACCATTTAATATCTTCACCAGTGACACAGACAGTGGGGTTGAGGACACCCCCACCAAGTTTGCAGATGATTAGATAGTTTTACTGAGGAATAACAAATTGTATCTCAATGTTAGAAAAGACAGAATTGTAGAGGACACTAAAAAAAAAAAAAAATCATTATTTGTTTAATCAATACAGGATGTATAGAGCCAAAAGCCTTGCAAACACTGGTAAGAGTCAGAGGATGTCTTAAGAAGTTTCAGGACCACAAGGACTACCTTCTTGAAAATACATAACCTCACTATGACCAAATCCTACCATTCTTCCTTTCCCTTCTCATTGTCTGCTCAACTTTATGGGAATGATGAAGAGAAAAGGGAAGTTTAATTTCTACTGTGTGTTGGGCTGGGATTTCTTATCCCTTCTCCATATTATTCTTCAAATGCAGAGTTTATGAAGATCTATCATCTCTAGGTTCCTGACATCTACAAGTTTCCACCAGAGGCAAACAGTGACAAACCCTAAGCATTTAAAAACCCCAGTCTATTTCTGAAATCCCATCTCTCCTGTAAAATAAACTCCTTCTGTATGACAAGGCAGGACTGAACACTGGCATGTACTTCTGCTTAACATATGATTAAGGTGCTAATTTTTCTTCCAAACTCATCAACAACATATAACTGAAGTAAACTTGTCCAATAACACTTGGACCACAAAAACTTGCCCAATAATTTTAATGAAGAATGATCAGGTTTTCAGCTTTTGATCTATTTGTTCTACTAAGTGGCAGAGTTTGGTTTTGTTGTTAATTTCTAGCTATAAATTAAAATGGCCTGAGAAGATACCCAATGAAGGCACAGTTTTTAAGCCTTAAAATTGGGAAAGAAAACAAGGATATTATCAACTCGTGCTATTCAGTACAGAAAAATGCAACTAGTCTCAAAGACAATTAAACGTGGTTTGTTACCCCTTACTGAAGACAAATGTGTCTCAAAAAAAGATAATTCCCTTTTGAATGGTAAATGAAATGTATTACACTGTAGCTTACCTAACAATAGTAGCTTCAAAACAGGCAGAACATATGTAACATGTATCAGGTAGCTTCTTAGAGATTAAGTTTTTATGTTTTAATACCGTGCAAAAGACTGCTACAGCTTTGGGTGTCTGATAATGCTCATATTAGACCCTTCCTTTCAAAATTATTGCACAGAACATGCTATTGTGGTTCTTATTTCTGAAGTATGCCTTCTTCATGCTTTTCTCATTGTACATAGAACAAAAATCTCTTTTTCTATTTGCTTGAGGTATAAATTAACAACTTCTGCAAAAAAAAAAACCAACCAAACAAAAAAACCCACCAACCAAACTCCTTTCTCGTACTCAAAGTATTTTAAAAAAAAAGAAGATACTGAATTAACTTTCACTTTACCTAGACAAAAGATTGCTGTCTTTCAGAAAAAAGTACTACAGTTGCACAGTGTAAACAGCACAAATGATACTTTAAAAAGTTTTGTATGCAGAAGCATAGTAGAAGATCTTTTCAATAGGTGGGCTTCTGAGGATCCATATAAGCAGGGTTGTAAGGGGGCTGGCTGATAGGGTAAGGTGCTCCAGCACCAGCTGCAAAAGCAAAACACAAGAGAAAAGAGATATGTAAAATTTACATTCTGAATTCTACATCTGTAATGGCAACTTCTGTTTTGAGCACACAGTTAAGATGTTGAACTTATCTAGCACCTTAATGGGACCTGAGAACAGTCTGTGCTAACTCATAAAGCATCCACATTTCAAAAGTAAGATCACAAAAACCTTTGTTCTTGTGGGTTTTTTTTGATGTTTGAGTGTACATGTGTATTATGGTAGCCACAAATACATGGTAAGCCTCCAAGGGAGAACACAGCCTAAAAAAACAGAATGGATCTGGTCTAAAAAACCAACCAACCAAACAAAAACAGCCAGCAGAAGTCAAAGATGCAGAGACAACAGGATATACCTGATTGTATGTTGAGAAAGGAAAACAAACCACTAGGTAAAAGGACTAGAGAAAGCATCTTAGGATTCCTTCAGGAAGAAGGCTTTCCTGTAAGTGTCACAGAATTAATTAAAAAATTCAAATAAAAAGAGAAAAGAGTGTCCCACCACTACTGCACACATTGAAGAGTTTGACATATATACTAGATGTGTATCACTTAGAAGATATCCTTATTTTCTAGTATTCTGGGACAAGCTGTTCTCAAATAGTGCCCTCATTTTCAGGTCTAGCATATAGCACAAGTCAGTTCAAGTAACACAGCACCTGATCACATCCCTGGAATGTACAAGTGTGGTTATCTTTTGCTGACCTTGTAAAGTGAGTGGGTTTGGCTCCTGTGTGACAGAGCAGGTATTCTCTCTCTTGCATGTGATCTAATTAAGAGACTGCCCTTTGGTTAACCAACATGAGAAATAAAGGCAAGAGCTCTTATTTTCAGGCATTCTCAGCTGGCAACATGGGAAGTGCTTCAAGATTTTCCCAGGGGGGGGAAAAAAATATATATATATTTTAAGAACTGACAAACAATCAACACAAACAAGCAACAGTTTGAGAAACCAGAGAGTAGGAGAAGCAAAATAACTAGATTATTGGCTCCCTCACATGATGAAGATGAAGCCAAAGCACTTTAGGGTACTTCCATAAACCCCACAGCTTCTTCAGAGTTTACAACAGAAAAATAAAGTCAACAGGCCTGTCAAGTCAGTGTTTTCACATGGGGGGGGCTAGTTTGCACATTGTTAATGTGCAATTTCTACTTGGTTTGCAAATGCTTAAAACCATGAACAGCCACTTTATATTTGAGTTGTCATGAAAGAGTTATGTTCTAAGGGCATTATCTACTACTCAGGACTATACTTTGTTTGTTACTTAGAAGATGAACAGTGTGGTTTGTAAGAAGGCTTGAAGATCCTAGGACAGGTAACAGCGTAGTTTTGGCTTCTCTGAACAACCAGGAGCCAATTGTTCAGAGAACAGCCATTCCCAGAGGAAGTGGGAATTAGCAATAGCAACAATAAAACTGCAGGAAAACAATGCTGTGAAAGAAGGAAAGCAGAAGAAAAGATTCCGATAATTCTGCTAGTCATTGGCAAACTTGTCTGAAGTTAATCTGTAAACACGATGACAAACTACTAGAAAATGCCATCTGTGTGCAGATTGAAACATCTAGCAAATATGAGATTAGAAAGGGTATGTAGAAACACCCAACTACTACACATGTGTTACTGGACTTTGATTTTTATATGAAATTTCAACTGAATTGGTAAAACATTCTACTGGATCTACTGACAGTCCCACATAACACCAAACTTTGCCAATACAGCTCCAGTTACATCTCCCCTTGAAATGTTTAACACAGAAATGGTGATGGGGAAGGGTGAATTACAGCATCCACCATAACTTGAGTTTTACATGATTTGCTTACATTTACATTAACACAGTCATAGAAAATAATCAATGTAAATAATACAAGATTGGTTCCAAAGCAATTGTCTTTTTAGCTATTTAAGAAATGAAGAAACACTCAGCACTGCCTTACCTGCCACCGTTTCATGATAAGCTGGGGGTCCTGATGGCTGCATGGGGTAAGGGGGAGGATACTGTGCAGGGTACGGTGCTACCGGCATTCCCGGCTGTGGCTGGATAGCCACAGGCTGATACCCTTGATATGGGGCTACTGGGTAGTTGGGTGGCACTCCCTGCTGCTGGGGATAGGGAGCGTGAACCACTGTAGTAGAAGTAGTGGTGGTCACAACAGCTACAAACAAGCAAAAAGAACATGGTTAGTGCTGGTGGTTCTCAGAGATCACCTGGGACAGCCCACAACAGTAGTGTAAAAAACATTCTCCCTTCAGATCAATTTCTTACTTCAAAATCTGTGTAATTTCATTTTGAAGTTCCACTAAAGATTTAGAAATGTGTGCTTCTAAATAGCCTTCCACGGATCTCAGTGGCAATGAGAGCCGTCACGTACTGGGACAGCAGCCAACTTATCTCCATGTTTCCCAACCACAAAGAGCAGAGAATTTTTTTCTTGGACTCTTTGAAAACCAGGCACTCAGCCCTGCAGCCAAGTTATCTACCATTTGGTATGAGACTGGAAAAACTGTTCATTTTTGAATGCTATCTGCTTTTAAGGATTAAAGTGATAAAGTTCTTCTTTATTAGGTAAGGAGCTTCCTCCTGTGATTGCCCAAATGAGTTTCTTTTTGTATGTTGTCTACACACTAAAACATCCATGTGTTAGTGCATCTTTCTCTAAATAACAGTTAGAAAGGCAAATATACATTAAGTCTTTGATTTCTGTAGGAGCTCATGTTGGATTGTTTGATATTTCTTATTGGAATAATGGAGTATTAATGCTTTCTAATAAACGGCAATAATTTGTTTTCAAGATCTCCTCCTTCTTTATGCTACAATTATAGACTTTGCTGAAGACTGCATTGTTGCAGTCCTGGGCCTTTGGTGTATTTTTCAGGTATATTTTTAAGAGACTGGGAAAAAATTTAAAATTTCATTCTATCCCCTGCTTACCTAAACAAAAAAACCAACCCAACCTCCCCCCACACACACAAATCCACACATTGAGGGGTGGGGAAAGAGAACTTCTAAATGCTTAGAAAATATTCCTAAACATGTCTCTGCAACTTCACATTACGAAGCAGCTAAAATACGTATTTTTAATGCTTAGCTATTACTACTTTTGTAGCAGAGGTAAAGCAAGATTATTTTCCCCTTTTATAGGACCACAATTTTCCAGGAAAAAAAAAAAAAATAAAAAAAGTTCTTGTTTAAAGATGTGAAAAAGAAAATAAATACACAGGTACTTACGCCGTGGTCTTCGACATGCTTTATACAAACAGCAACACGAACAGGTGAGGCACAGAATAATAGTAACTATAATCACTGCACAAACAATAACTCCAATCGCAACAAGGGTTCCAAAACTGCAACAAAAATACCACCAGAAGAGTTAAGTGTCTTTCACACAAACTTGTTACTCTTCAACCCAACCTTCTGCAGCCATTGCTCTTCCTCCAGTTTGTTCCTCTCACTACTTCACGTATTTGAATAAGAAACAACTGTCAAATGTAGCTGGTCAGGTCACAGGGTCACAGAATCACCTTGACTGGAAAAGACCTTTAAGATCATCAAGTCCAATCACTAACCCCACACTGACAGATCCCGGACTAACCCATGTCCCTCAGCACTATGTCTACACGACTCTTCAATCCCTCCAGGGATGGGGACTCCACCACTGCCCTGGGCAACCCCTTCCAATGCCTCAGAACCCTTTCAGCAAAGAAATTCTTCCTCACATCCCATCTCAACTGCCCTGGGCACAACTTGAGGCCATTTCCTCTTGTCCTATTCCTCTTGACATCTGCTCAGCCAAGGGAAGCTGACCAACTCCTGTGAAGGAGCATGCTCCCCTGTACGTGAAAAGGGCCCCACCTGAGTCTGGTGGTTTTCATTTTAGTGTGACTGTGACTCTTGGTATTGTAGTGCAGCTGTGTGTTCCTTTATGTATTCCAAAAGCTTACACTGATAAAGTTTCAAAATCACTAGCCTGACGACTTAATTTTCCAAGTACTCCTTGACTGCCCTGAACATACAGGTAGGCACATCTGAAATGGTGACAGTAAGTTCGAGGTGACAGTAAGTTCTTCATACATTCCTAAAACCTCCCAGGCCCAATCTGAAGACAATCTTGGTACCGAGCAGACCTCTCCATGCTGCAGATTTTTGGCAGGTTCCTTGGCATTTGTAAACAGTTGTTGTAGAATCCATGTTTCACATGGTTTGAAAGATCTGAAATTCTGTCAACTTTACTGCAACAATGAGTATGTTACGCTACATAAAGGGAGACAGAAACAGTGCCTAAGCCACCAAAATCTAGTATGGAAAGGTCAAAGGTTACACCAGCTTTAAACTTTACAATGAGCATCAAATGATGGAGGCAGATGTAAAGCTTACAGAGACAACTGTTTATAAGTTGTTTACCCCACAGGGAAGAAAAAGTAACTCTGTAAAGCATTAAATTCCCAGTGACAATTCCCTTTTAAGCGTTAATTTACATTATTTGTTTCCTACTGTCTGAAATCAGTAAAGTTCTTCTTCCCCAGTAGTCAGTCTCCAACATTTTTCTCATAAACTGCACCATGCATCAGTTTTGGGAACAATTGCAGGAAGTCAGTTTTAATGAAAAACAAGCTCTAAAGTAATGAGTAGAGAGCTGGTTTTGTATCCATCCTGTTTTTGCTTCTTTGTAGAGATTTTCAGCTACAGAACTTTCCAGTTTTTTTCTTGCTTAGCTTCCTGTTAACAGCTTTAAATAAAATGACACATCTCCAGATCCTCCAGCAATTTTCACTTGGCTACCAGTCATCAAATGTGAAAACTGTTTTTGAGTATCAACGACACTGGAAGGTTAGTTGGAAAATGCAAAGTACTCTATTATCCCTAGCCCAAATTTGGAAGACTTCACCTCAGTTTTCTAGAGCACCTTAACCCTCAGTAAGCTGGACACTGAACATCAGCATTGACAAATAAAACAGGTTCCATTTAAAATGCATTTGTTCCCTTAAGAGAGGTTCCATCAATTTTATTCTGTTTCTGCAACAGCTAGAAGTAAAAAGCTTGGGTCAAATTTATTTCAAGAATCCGAGCAACAATTTTATCTAACTGTAACTGTATCTAACTTGTGCATTGATTCTGTGATGTACTAAATATAATGCTGGATTTACTCCTCAAGTATTAAATCTAAGACTGAGGATTGCCTACAGTCACTGCACCTAAGTATTCACATGTAGAACAGGAAGCAGGAACTGCTGCCGCCTCCTGAAGTCACAGCAGTAACGTCAGAAACACTGCCAGGAAAGCAAACAGATGATTGCAACACAGCTGCTAATTGTAAAGATGCACCCCTGCTTTGTCACGTTCATTTGCACCTTTACAGAATGTCTTTCATATGCTGACTTGGCCGTGCAAATGCATTCCTAACCATGTTGCTTCGAGTGCTCTCCCCATCCTCACGAGCATTAGTTTCACTCCAGCACAGTAAGTTCACAGCCAGCTCATCTCCATCCAAAAATCCCATTTCTTTCAAGCCTGGTATAAGGAGGAAGATACAAATGCAATTTCAAGCTGGGGCGGGGAAGAAGAGAGACAAACATGCACAATGATACCACATCCTGAAACACAGGCTGCCTCCGGTCCACCAGGCCAACAGCAAACATACATCAAGTTAATCTGAAAACACAAACTGAATACTTGTGTGTGCAGAAATGGATTAGATGTAAGAGTGACCTGTGGAATTTAGATTAATTATACAGGGTCCTTACTAGATACTCATATATATATACTGGAGAAGAATGAGGAAGCCATGTGCACAATGGATTAATACATTAGATTTAACCACCCCAACTGCAATGTTCACAAGAAACAGCATAAATGCCTGTGATAAACCACAGATACCTCTGGAAACTGCATGACGACACACGTTAACTACAATTACTGCTACTTGTGGAATGCCAGCAGCATTTTCCCACTTTCTTGTTCCCACTGCTGTATCAACACTGAGAAAGCTCTCTCACTAAGGAAGTTTACATTTCCATTACATGCAATTATTACCAAGCAACATCAGCAGAGTCTTACAGGTTCTTCCTCTGGCTTTTTCCCCAGTAAAGAAGGAAATGACTTTTTTGCTAGTGAATTATGCCAAGGAAAAAGATTCTTGTGTCAAGGAAATAGATTAGACCTGACAAAGACATCTAAAATTCTTTATTTCTATAGACAATGAACCTTTGAACTTTAGCAGAGGCTGGGCAAAAAGCAAAGAAACATAAGAAACGGAGAAAACAAGGGGAGAGATGTCTACTCATCATAAATAAACCAGCACAGCAGAAAACTGGCAGAGAATCCTTATCTTTCAGGACCAAATTAAGTTCTGATATGATGAGAGAAAACAGCACAAGCCCATCTGCTGCCAAGTTGGCCACCAAGAGATAAACATTGGTTAGTTAGAAGCATGGGCTCCATTTGTTTATTTGTAATAAAGTTTTCTGCTCACTGAAGCACATATCTCATTGCCTACTTACTGCCTCTTAATAAGGAAAGCAACAAAAGCAAAACTCAGGGGAAAAAAACCCACCATATCTTTATTTTCACCCAGTTGTTAGAGACACTCTCTGCACTTTAATAATTTGTTTCCCTCTTTGCTAACAGGAGACAAGCGTGGCACGATGACATTTTGCATACATCTTTTAAAGAGCTAAATGGAGACACATATTTAAAGTACAGGTGTGTCAGCTGCATACACTTGAGAGTGCGGTTCTGTGTTTGTGTGTGTAAAACACTGTGATTCAGTTCCACCCACTGAAATACTGTGTGATTACTACAGACCAAAATTGTAAGCCTTCAGAAACAGTCTAGTGAATGAAACAACAGAGAAGAGTTAGTTCTTCCCAGAGTTTTCTAAGGAGTGTACACCACTGAATTACTGTAAGCTTTTTTACCATCTATTTTACAGCAGAAGCATAATTTTCCTGCCAGTGCTTGGGCTCATGCAGACTAAAGTCTTGAAACAGCAGAAGGTAGTGTGGCATTTAAGGAAAACATGACAGTATGTACTATGAACCTGCAACTCATCAACACATTCTTTCAATATTAGAACTCTTAAAAATATTTTTTTTCTAATGATTTATATTGATAATCAAAACTAGCAATACTCTTTTGGAATATCTGAATGGTCAGGCATTACCTTGCTGTAATAATTTCTGTCCTTTCACTGCCCAAGGAGTATTGCCCTGAGCACTTCTTCCTGAACATTCAGTAATAAAATCCCACTAGTAAAACTACTGAAAAAAAATCCCACTAGGAAAACTACTGAAAAAAAATCCCACTAGGAAAACTACTGAAAAAAAATCCCACTAGGAAAACTACTGAAAAAAAATCCCACTAGGAAAACTACTGAAAAAAGGGCAGGAAGGCTACCAATTATAGATATATATAGATATTCCAATACTGTATAAAGACACTCTTGCAGTGTGCTAACTCCAGAAAGCCTATACTCCTTTTTAAAACCAAACTATTGCTTCATTATTGCTTTCACTTGATTAATCTGTCTAAAAGGACCCTGAGAATATTTGTGAAAAAAACATATTCGCATTAAATGAGAATTTAATTACTAGCTGTTAGCATTACACAGAAATGAAAAAGAATAGACATGATGGTTAACCAAGGAAAAAAAAAAACAACAAAGAAAGAAAAAAAATCACCAGGAAACCAAACAAAAAACCCCACATCTTACCCCCTGCATTCTGCAAACAATGTCAGAGTGCAGAAGTCAGGGTGGCCGCAGCACCAGATCAGAACGCTCTTCTGGTGTCACCATTTGAACATGGGTTTCCAGGCTCCCCCATTATATATACCATAGTCTCTAAATAAAGCACACACTGTTACAAACAGCTTGAGCTCATGCACTGCCACTTCCTGCTTCCTTCTGCTCATAAAAAAGCTAACTTTTGCCAATAATTTAATAGAAAACAAAATTGAGAACAAAATCAAAACCACTAGCAGTTTTACTGCAGTAATGATAAACTGCAGCTTCTCATAAAATCCATGGGAAAGCAAATATGAAGAGACGACTCCCTGCCCTTTCCCTCCACCACCTCTCTCCCTCCTTGCCCTACTCCACTTCTACCCCTACTCTCTCACCTTTGGAAAGCACTAAAGGGTGTATGTAATGAGCATCCCTCACAGACTCACCTTCCCTTTGAAGTTTTCCAATTATTCAAAACATAATCAGTTCACACAAAGGGAGTGAGGTGATTAGTGCCCGTTTTACCCCTTTTGGTATTGAATGAGACACAATGGACATCTTAAAATGGGAGAATCAAACCCAGGGTCTAAATAGCACTAATTGTAGAAGTGAGTTCTCAAGCCAGTTGTTGTTCATATCAGAGATCTCGGTCTCAACTACTGTCAAGTAAAAAAAAAGTTAAATGCTTTGAGTGTGTTTAAGGCCTTTTAAAATATCCCAAGTTTCAAGTCCAGTAACATATTTTTAAACCTCCTTAATAGTTTGAATCACTTAAGTTTGCAACATTCTGTAGGCCCTGCTGTAAAGGAAGTTTTTGCATATCCATGCGTTCATGATAATGTGACACACAGCAACTTTTGTCTCTAAAAAAGAAAAAAGTACCCAAACAAACAACAACAAGACCACTTTGTTGTGAAAAATTAGTTTAAGCAGCCTATTTATTTCACAAGTTTTAATCTATTCCATGATTTATTTCGTGCTACAATAAACATGCTGGCAGGGTTCTTTTCAAAAGCACAGCTGCTTTTAAAAACAAACATTTACAAATACTGAACAGGGTGGTCTGGAATTACTTCAGAAGATAATTTAGGCCCTTCCTAAAAGTCTAAAAAACCCTGACTATAGGCATATCATTCTTTACTGCTCCAGAAAAGGAAACAGTTCCCAGAAATGTCTCAGAATGGTAAATGTCCAGACTTTCCCTGACTCAGGTATAGGGCATAACCAAACAAGGCCCCAGACTGAGATGCTTTTCCAAATCCAACATTTTAGCAACAGCTGTACAATGCCACATGCTGCCTCTAAAGCTTAGCCAGAAAATAAAGGACAAACTTTATTTTTTATTTTTAAGATAAAGCAGTATGACTTCCCAAGGGTCTTTCTGAGGGATTCGTTTTTACAGTCTGACAAACACCACACTTCCTCAGTTTGCTATTTTAGCATGAAGATTCAAAACATAGGAACCAATTTGTGAGAGACTCAAAAAAACCCCATTTACTATTACACAAAAAGCAAACTCCTGTGAGGTTAATACTTGCAGGAAAACATCAGCGTAACTTTAACACTTGACAGACTGAGCTGCCTATTTTAGCACAGCTGGGTTTTGGCCCACAGGAGCTTCATCCCATGTGGAAAATCAAAATATACACCACAGAGTTAAGCCTCCTAATCCAGGTGCAATCACACTAATTGCTGGTGCCAGCCATGGCCCGCTCCAGCCATTTCACCCAGGGGCAACCCAACCCAAAACAAGATCTCTACACAATCAAGAAGTGTCTAAGAAACAAGGGCCCAGTGATTCTTGTGGTGGGTGACAGGCAACATACAACTCAGACTAAACAGCATGGTTTCAAAATGATGAAATCTTGACAGCTTCATCAGAGCAGCAGTTTTGAGTAACTGCTAAGTCATTCTGTAAGCTAGGCAATGCAGTGAAGCATGGAACTGTTACACCTGCGTTGGTCTTTCAGACAAATGTTAACACAAGTTACCACTTGAGAATGTCCCTCCAAGGGTCCTGCCCACGTACAGTTCCTTAACATGAAGAAAATGGTTTCATCTCACTTTGGCTAACCCGTCAGTGCAGTACCAGCTCAACTGTAAAGTGCTGAGACACAGATTAACTCCCACTGAAACCCACTAAAACTTCCCACAGCTTTCCACAGTTCTTTCTGGGTACCTCCAAAAGAAGGAAAGTTTGCAGCAGGAGCCCCCCAAAACAATCCCTGGGACACCTCTGCTTACCTGCAGCCTCAACAACCCTGAGCTGCATCCCCCGGAGCCAGCAGCTGAGCACAGCCCAGTGACTCTTGGCACCAGTCAAGCCAGCTCTGGCACAAGGACCAACCAACGCTAAAGCAACAACAATAATGCCACGGTAAGCCAAGAAGCCCCACGACTGCAAAAGTGTTACAGGAAGAGAGAATGCAAGAGCCCTTTGAGGAAATGTTTGCTAAAAATGTACTGAATGGGTCTTTTTTGTGTTTGTTCAAAGAAGAAGCTGATGTGGGTTACTTTAAGCCCAAAATAATAAACTAATTTAATACACAAAGGTCTACTGGAAGTAAAGCTAATTACTACTTTTTTTTAAGGACACTAACTTCTCAGTTTTTTCGAGTAACATGTTAATAGGTTTAGCACAACAAGTTCTTAAACAGCCTATATGAGAAAGTGGCAGGGAGGGAACTTCCTGGAGTCTGTGGTTTTACTCAAGACATCTGACACCCGGATCCAAGAGGTTATTGTGGAGGATGTATACAAGCACCTCTTCTTGGTCT